TATAGAACAATAAAAACAAGTCAAGACACAGATATTTTACAAAGAGAATATGAGGGAGGTAAATGATACAATCCTTAAATTTTTAAATTCTTTTCCATATTTCAATCCTTTAAGTTAACTTGAAACTATCGTATACTAGATGTAAATCCATTTGGTGAAAAAATTGAATACGATTTAATTAAAATTTCTAGCATTGTTATATATATATATATATATATATATATATATATATATATATATATATATATATATATATATATATATATATATATATATAGTTGTTACATTGTAGATAATTAAACCTCCCTATGCACTATAAAACTAATTTTTTTACAGAACAAGTAACAGCCGTTGTTGAGCCTAAAACAGGTACACATTTAAACTTTAATTAATTTATTTATTCCATCCGACAGTAGTTCATTTTAAATCGTTCATAGAATCAAATTCTCTGTCATATTTTAAAATAGTTTGACTATACAATAACACAGTGTACGTGCGTGTTTTTCCTTACTGAAGATTTTGGATGTAAAAAAAAGGAATGGATGCAGGACATGGGGAGGGGAAGTGGAGAATGAATGAGGAGAGAGATAAAGTTGGAAGACGGGAGGCAGAACCACTCTTGTTGATTACAAATAATTAGTACAATTTAAATATGTTGTTTAAAATTTTAGCGGCTATAAACATTGGAAAAATCGTCCTTATTTTTGTTAGGTTTGTCTGTACGTCCGTCTGTCACATTTATATCTCTCAAACTATAAAAGATATTGAAATCCAGTTTCTTAACACGTAAGAGCGTCCAAAGTGCCTTATTCAATATGCAATATAAATCATAATATAGTGAATCAAAATAGTTTCACATTGGTTTTTTTTTTTCAAAAAGGACACCACTTCATTTGTGGTTAATTAATATTTACAAATAGGTGTTAAGATAGACGAGCAAAGCAGTCTCGTTCTGGGACAGAATGAGGAATGATGGGCCGAGTTGTCCTCTGATCTTAGAGAGAAGCGGTCATTGTGTTTCTTTTGTGTATAATATGATATATTATTAAATAAATGACGTCTTGATAATATGTTGAGATTGAGAGTATATAACAGCTATAATCTAGTACATGAGTATATATATCTATGAATGATCATACATCTATTTCAATGAGTATTTTTTTTTATTAACTATAAGGATATCTTTTTTTGCTAGACCAATTGAGCTTATTATTTCTGTGGAGTGAATAGCAGAGATTTTAGTCAGAGATAATGAACAATTGTTTGAAAAGAATTGTTCAACTAAATTCTAGCAATATTTTTTAAGCTACATCATTTTTATAACTGGGTTCTGAAAAGGCGTTTCTATTCTTTCACTAGCGCCATTTTGTGCTCACTAAGCCGAAGACTGAGCATGTTTCTCCTGCATGTCTGTTGACGACGGTCGTTGACTTGTAGCACCAAACTGCTGGTAGATAACTAAACCGCTGTTGGCGTATTATATTTCAATTTACAAATCTCTCTCTATATATAATTCTTTTCATGGCTCAACAGTTTGGACACCAAGAAGTAATGGAAAGATCACTCTTTTATTTCTGCAAGACGGATTAGAGTTACCCCACGTAAATTTAGAGGCGAAAAAAAATAGATGGGGGGGAGAAAAAGTAGCATTCACCCGTCACTAATTAGCAGGGTCGACTTAACCATTGTGGGGCCCTATGTGAAAAGGATTTCGCGGGCCCAGTTTGATTAGGGATACGGATAATAAGTGAAAATTAACAGTTTGTATTATCTGTCTTCTATATATATAATCCCTTCATGGCTCAACAGTCTGGACACCAAGAAGTAATGAAAAGATCACGGCGAAAAAAAAAGATGGGGAAGGGGAACAAGTAGTATTCACCCGTCATTAAATAGCATGGCCGGACTTAACCATGTGGGGCCCTAAGCGAAACGGATTTTGAGGGGCCAAGTTTGGGTAGGGATACGGATAATGTGAAAATAAGGAGTTTGTATTAGAAAATAAATTCGTCTTTGCATTTTATTCATTCTTTACTACGTACAGAATTACTTTACGAGTCTTACGCGTAGAGAGGTCATACAGTATATCTTACATTTTTGCTACATAGATTACTCTCAATTGCAAGAATTATCAAATGTTTCAATCTATCTACGAGAATTGTTGACCTCAAGTAATTCTTCATTAGTTTGAGGCGCGAGAAGCTTCTTTCACTGAATTCCACAATTACGAGTATTGCATAATGCCATTTTTTTTATTGCGCATAGGATTGGCGTTTTCCATATTGAATGACACCCCAAAATGACAATTTTGTTTATATATTTCATGATATTTGTAGGAATTTTCAAAAGATTTCAATATTTTCCGTAGATTTCCAGGACTTTTTTTTTATATTTTGATATTTTAGGATATTTCCAGGAGCTCCTGGTAGCCGCGGAAAATCAGTTATACCTTATAAAATTGTTTAATTTAGTAATTTACACCTAGAATAAGCGCGGGTCCTATAAAAGTGCGAGGCCCATTGCGGTCGCATAGGTAGCAATGGCGTAAGGACGGCCCTGCAAAATAGTGGCGTATGCTACGCCGTGGGTCGACTAGTATGAAAATAAATTAAATAACATCTTTGTGAACATTTCTAAATATAAGTATAAAAAATTTCAACGTCAGATAAAATTTTTAAAAAATTATAATTCCAACAAATCTAACTAACTATAAAAACACGTCTTTACACTCGGCATTCTGGAGTCGTCTGTCGTACCCAAGATAGTACCGCTTATCTTGCATCATTCACACTGCAAAACTAGCAGCTAATCGCTATTTTTTTGTCATCGTCACCATAGAAACACACAATACCGAATAGTTTTTATTCATTTATATTTAAATACTGATTTAGGACATCTGACGTATCTTGCGCCTCTTTTCAAACTGTAAGACGTAACTCAGTATCAATGAATTATGTCTTCTAACGATCAACTGAAGCATTTTTTTTCTATTTCATAGATGTAAATGGAAGTAATGATATTTTTGAGGAACACGTGAGAAAAGAGAAATATGAATTTTTGAATTGTACTAAGCAACCTGAACATAGCTCTTTCATCCCGATTCAAAGTTTTTCTATAGAGAGTTTACCCCAGTCTTATCAGAGCCAAGAAATATACAATTTGGTCATCGCTTTAAGTACTTTAGTTGTCAGAATAAAAGTCTCTGCCATCAGTCCTAACAGACCAGAACATTGGCCAGGAATCGAGACACCCTACTCATGGCCAGATGACGTGCAAGATAAAACCGTGTTTGGTACAGGACGAGTTGAGGAAGTGACCAAAGGTCAAGAAAGTTGTCCTTGTGAAACTTGTAAAACATCGTCCGCTCCAAGCGAATTCTGGTGGCTGATCCGAGTGGTTACAGCCAGTCACGTGGTGTTTGATGACCTTGAAGCTCACCATACGTCGTGTGAGCTCTTCTACGACAGTGAATCAAGCAAGGTCACATCCATCAAAGGCTTACGTCTGGCCTCCAGTGACATGACCAAGGACCTGTCCAAACTATTTTGCGTCACGTGTGACGTCACTCTGGCCGAAAAACTAGAGAAATGTGTGGACACTTTCATCGACGCTTGGGAGACTGCATTTGATAAATACTTCGGTGACCAGGAGGCTGCCAAAGAAAATCTGGTCATTTTAATATTTCATCCACATGGCTATTACAAACATTTGTCCGTGGGTCATTACATTGAAACACATAAAGAGCGCAATGATGATAAGGAATTACAGTGGTCCACTTATGACACACCCACTTGCACTGGAAGTGACGGAGCTTATGTTTTGAGCACACAGTTGTTTCATTCATTTGATTAAAAATTTAACAACGATTTTTTTACAAAAGGAAATATGTTATTTTCTGTTTCAAATATTGTGCTATATTAAAATGTACAAGTTAGCGGTTGATGGTATTAACTCCCTCTCCCGCAAAGAGCAATCTACAATCTTCTAACTAAGAATAGGACACACACCAGAAGTCCCACTCATCCACCCATCTTAGACATTGCCCTTATTTGATATCAAGCACATAATTAATTACCAATTCTTCTTCTTAAACTGTCAGGTAGAGTTGAGCCTTCAGCTCCTGGAGCTCTAAGCCAGCAAAAGTGAACAAGAGCTCCCTCTCATCAGCCTGAATGAGAACAGTGTACACTGACGGGTGGGTCAGACTCAGACTCGCGGCAAGAGACCTCGTACACTAAGACCCCCGCCATTTTTCTTTTTCTATACCAGGCTAACTGTGCGGGACACGCCGTTTATGTAACGGCTCCTTGAGGAACAGCGCCTGGATTGTGACAAGGTTGTGGGAGCTTTTTTACAATTCCGCACAGTGCAATGAGGATGTTCTCGCACCCCCCTTAGGCACCCCCACGGGAGTCTTGTTTTGCTACCCTTTAGCCTAATCGTTTCCCTTATAATCGTTTCCGTCTGGGCGCCACTATGAGGCAGGGTAGCATGCCAGGGTAATTACCAATAATAAATTGACTAACTGGTTCATTTATTTAATCGATTCTTGTTGGGGTTTTTTTGGTAGAAAAAATAATTGTTTAAAGTTACAACTTGATCCGAGATTCAGTCTGTGAGAAATAACTTAACAATTATTAAAGGGTACACAGCACAACAAATTTATTTATACCTGTGAATACCAAAGGTTTAATTTCCTTTTTAATATCAAACGCAAATGTTAATTAAACATTGACGAATTAGTTCTATTTTTTTATTACATTGATTCATATATTTTCTACGCCCATGAATAATTGTGCAAAGTTTCAACTTGATCCGAGAATGGATTTGGAAGAAATAACGTGTTCAAACTTTTTACCAGACAGACAGACAGATGGACAGACAATAGAAAGAGTGAGTTAATAGAAGCTTTGTAAAAATAAAAAGTGGAAAAAAATGCTTTGTGACAATGTTAGTTTACCTATATTTCTTTTATCAATACACTGAGCACATAAAGAATCTATTTATGTATTTTGCTGCCTGTGATGACAATTTCCATGTCTCTTTGCAAAGGTTCATTACAATTCCAATATTTTCTAGAAATTAGTTCAATCCATATATTGCAAACATTAAAGTTGTTCCGATTTAAACAACACTCAACACTGTGATAATGTCAGGAACAATATAGAATATAGATGATTCATTTAATCCCTATATCTATAATCGCATCTATTACTAGGAACACAAAACTCGATTGGTTTTCAGAAATTGCACACAAAAATAAAACAAGCAAAATACTAAAAAAGGAGATTAATTCTGATCCAAGCACAATACTTGATTACCAATACTAATTAAATTAATTGATTCATTTTGTTCATTGATTCATGTGTGGTCAGTTAAAAAAAATAATCGTGCAAAATTTTAGCAGACGGAGTGAGGTGATATAAGCTTTGTAAAAAAAAAAAGATGAAAATGGTCAAAGTAGCATACTAGTACTACTCGTAACAGGAATTTTTAATGTCTTGTTATATAGTGCAATAGAAGTTATTTAGATTAGGTTGAAATTGATCATAATTATATGTACATGTGCTGTCATAAGATTCACATAAATGTATAAATATAAGAATTGTATGGTAAATAAGTATGTGTTTGTACTTCATGTCTATTATTGATCTTAATGAAATGAGAGATTGTAAAACATACATCTTATTTCTTCAACGTCTACAAATGTGAAAACATTTTGAATCAAATAACTGTACAATGATATTGTAAATTGGATTCCTTTTTATTCTTAAAAATTATTTTTTTAAATTTTAAATAGCAAAGTTTTCTTAGCTTAGGTTTTTTTTAATTCTTTTATTTGTATACCCTTAAATATTGCTATGATGTCAGCTTATAATATAAGAAAATGTTATCGGTTCAAACAAATGAAATTCAGTTGAATTACCATTGACCACATCGTTAGGTTATCGCAAGGATCCCGATTTCTATGTAAATGCTTAAATCTGTGTTTCGTAGTAACTATAGTAAGCCAACCTTTTCGAATGTTGGGTTTGGCTAAAGTTGGCAATAGATGCCCCATTATAATGAACTGAGAGGTGCAGGTTTGGGTCATTCCCTCAACTGGAGTGTCCATGCATCTTCCACTTCTTCCTTCGGTAGCCAAGAGTATCTATGATACTTGAGAAGTCGAAAGGCAGGCAGAATATCACTCAACATAAAACCGTTTAAAAAAAAACAGTTATGGGACTTTGCCTGTAAAATACTAAGACATTGTGCTTTTATGAAATTATATAATTAATAGAAAGCATGAGCGTAGCCAGGGGGGTTGGGGCTCAACCCCCCCCCCCCCCACGAAATGAAATCCCCCCCTCCCGTAGGAGGGGATCGGAATTTAAAGACTGATTTTTTGCTTTGATTTTGTTTATTTTAGGTGAGATGTTGAGACTAAACTATCACTTGCCCTAGCACAGCAAAGGAAGTTTTGAGATTAAAACCCCCTAACAATTCTAGCTTATACATCCAAATGATAAAAAATAGTATTTGTTTTCCCAAAAGTTTGGTTTTGTGGTCAGGACATTGATAGTTCAGATCACGTATTGGATAGCATTATACAACGTTTAAAATACATGTAAGACTTATAATACACTTATGATGTTTGACAAAGTCTTCACAAACATGGTCCATACAGATGATTAAAAGTCAAAAATTGCATGTTCTTTAAGACTGACGATTATAGACAAAATCACTATCACGGACTAGGCCCCAGATATAGTCCCCCATCATATTCTCGGTATACTGTCCTTGGTATCGACGTTAAAATTCCTTCAGGTCTTGATGGAACCTTTCTCCTTGTTCCTCTGAGTATGCTCCCATATTCTCCTTGAAATTACGCAGATGAGCATCTAGGATGTGAACCTTTAGCGACATTCTGCATCCCATAGAATGATAGTTTCTCACAAGTGTCTCCACCAGCTCCACATAATTCTCGACCTTATGATTTCCAAGGAATCCCTGAACAACTGCGATGAAGCTGCCCCAAGCTGCCTTCTGGATGTCTGTGAGACTGTTAAGAAATTGCTGAGACTCCATTATTTTCTTTATTTGTGGTCCCACAAAGATCCCAGCTTTCACTTTGGCCTCTGACAACTTGGGGAAGAATTCTTCTAGGTATTTAACAGCTGCCGACCCTTTACCCAGAGCTGTAACAAACTACTTCATGAGCCCCAGCTCGATGTGCAAAGGAGGCATTAGAACTTTCTAAGGATCCACTAGAGGCTCCCACTTGACATTGCTACTCCCAATGGTAAAGTTGGTCCGTTCTGGCCAATCCCGACGATGGTAGTGTTGCTTGGTGTTTCTGCTATCCCAATGACAAAGATAGCATGGAAACTTGGTGAAACCACCCTGAAGACCCATTAAGAATGCCACCATCCTAAAATCACCAATTACCTCCCAACCATACTGTTGATAGTTTAGAGCCTGCAGAAGCTGTCGGACGCTATTGTACTCCTCCTTAAGTTGTGCTGAGTGAGCCACTGGGATAGAAGGTAGCTGATTGCCATTGTGGAGAAGAACAGCTTTCAGGCTGCGGGAAGAACTATCGATGAAGAGACGCCAATCCTGTGGGTTGCAGGGTATCCCTATTGCATCGAACAGACCTTTCACATCATGGCAGTAGCAAAGGTTATCATGAGGGGTGAAAAAGACTGAAAATCTTTGATGACGTTTTCTCTGACATGTAACTTGAACACTCTCATCTAACAGGTTCCACTGTTTTAGTCGGGATGTCAGAAGCTCAGCTTTATCTTTGGTGAGACCAAGATCTCTCACTAAATCATTGAGGTCATCTTGGTTAGGAAAGTGAGGTATTCCTTCATCATCCGCTTGAAAAACATCAACATCCTCAGCATCACTAGCGATACTGCTGTCTTCCGAGGGCAGTGTATTCTGCGGTGGTTTGGGAATGGGAAGATCAGGGGAATGTGGAACTGGGGCGATGGAAGAAGGGATATCAGGATAGAGCACAGCAGCTGCATTTATGCCAGATCGAAGCAGTTGTTCAGATGATCTGTAGGCTCTCGACAAATTCTTGGTATCGCAAACTTCATGCTTCTCTTCTCCCCCCTGAACCAAACTTCTAAAGTCTTCTTGCAGCAGTCACAACTCACATGTGGAGACCAAGATTTATCTAGATCTCCAACTGGCATGCCAAAGTAGGATTTATATGCTTCCTTCATTGTTGCTGATGTTGTCAAAGAATGTTTCTGCGCACGTTTCTTTATGAATTCGCCGCAAACATAACAGAAGGCATTTGATGGATAGGTGCAACCTCTAGATGCCATATTTTACATAAAGTCAATGAAGTCACTGATTTCAATCAACAATCAATATTCACAATGATTTTATCTGAAAAATCTAAAAAAATTCAGACATATATTTAAAGGTGCAAAATCAATTCATACATGTAAATGCATATACACTGCAAAACAGAAAATGTTAGACAGCAGTGACAAAACCAAAGTTTTGCCTGAATAAATGAATTATAATAGATGTTCTGGACCTAAGAAACAAGAAAAGAACAATTTCTTGTAAGGAACAAGAAAAAAAAAATTTTTTGTTGCCTTGTGTTATAATTGAAGGGGGAAATAAAGTGTATCCTTCGGTCTTTCCACCTTTGAATGTACATTTTCAGACCTTGTGATCTATGAGGCAAATGGTGTAAAGGTCATATGTTTCTGAACGAAGGTATCATGTGGCCAGCGCAACGATATTTAACTTTCCCAAGCTAATGTGAGGTACCGATTAGAGATGGCTGGACTCAGAGGCGGTCTAAAGATCAGAAATTTAAAAATCTCGGGAGTTGAGCCCGGGACCCCTCGTTTCGGAACCCAAGTTACTCACTGCAACTCTGAAGGAATATTTTCCACAAGAAATTTGTCAGAAAAAATCATTGTAAATGAAACAACATAGCACATTTTAAGAAAACATATACCTTAAAACTCTCATTTTCACTGTTTTGGACAAAAACAAACAGACAAAATATCTAAATTGTCATATTTTATTGCTAGCAAAAGTATTGTCCCACATTTTGAATATATATTGTTGTAATCAGACATTACATTAAAGATTATACATTTATAGCACATTACCAAGAAGGCCATTTAAAAGTCCTAGAACTGGACCTTTTTGATCAGTTAGACCTTGAGCAGTACCTAGAAGACTACTAGTAACGCCACCAACGATTGGAAGCCCACCGGTGACGCCCTGCACTGTACCTAACGGGTTGTTCAGCAAACTCTTGGTCAGGCCTCCAACGACTGGAAGACTTCCTGCTACATCAGTCACAGTGTTCAGGAGATTGTTGGCTAGACCCCCTACCAGGGGAAGTCTACCAACGACATTTTTCACAGTTCCCAAAGGATTTTGTAGCAGATTTTGAGGAAGTGCTTCGGCTTTGTCGACCACGCCACCTACAGGGCCGCCGAGAACATTTCCGAGCAGATCGCCAAGTAGAGCGCGCCTAGCAAGATCGTCCTCTGCATCTGCAGATCTGGGTTGCCTTGTGAAGGACATTACTGACCCGAAGGCAACATTCATGACCACTACAAGAATAAGGCTGCGCATCTGTAGAAAAATAAAAATCAAATACATTATTTCAACTCGTTGGTTGTGTCTATAGGGCAAATGATGTAAAAGGTAATCTGTTTCTGTGGCCCACGGTTAAAGAGAGTGGCATGTGGCCAGCACAACAACCAACCGTCTGTTATTTTCCCCAACTAATGTCAGGTATTCATTAGAGCTAGGGTGGACTCAGAGGTGCCCGTAAGGTCCCGAAATTAAAAATACCAGTCTTCCTCAGGATTCGAACCACGAACCGTCTGGTCTGGAAGCCAAGCACTTTACTACTCAGCCACAGCGCTTCCTTCAAAATATGAAGGTGACAGCTAATGTTATACATGTTTTTGATGTTACTTCAGTATTGAAGCTTGTAACATCCAAGCCCAAAAACGCGGAGATGCAGATTTTGTACTCAGTACCTTAGAGACAACAGTCTAAATCGCATATTAGACGATGAGTGGATTAAACATGATAACCGGGCGAAGAGAGAAAACTGGTATTGGAATTAACGAGCCAAAAGTAGTTTTATTTGTGAGTCGATGGCGTTGTTCCAAGCAAAAGATACTAAAATGTACGTGCCAAAAGTATGTTTCAGAAACGTCAGAATACCGGCCATTTCACTGGAAGTGAAAAGAGGTGTGTGAGGCTGCTGCCAGAATACTACGTAAGAGAGGGGCACTGTGTGAAATACGCAATTTAAAAGAAAAGTGGATTCAGGACGATTTGTTGAAATTGGAAATGAAAATGGGCGGAGCTTACTTGTCGAAATAATAATATGGCTTTACTTCGAGTCCGAAGATTAATTACGAATACAGTATTTCATGTGAATATGTAGGTCCAAGCTGCAACCTACATATTTTGTGATATCAACTTTGGACATAACCGTTGTGGGCGGTATTTGATTTAGGTTCTCTTTTCGTCGTCTATGTCTGTCATCAGCAGTAGTTTGTCTTTTACTGGTTAAAAATAAAATAAACACCATGAAAGCAAATCAATGGGTGAATCCGGTGTTTAATACTTTTATATATTCAGAGAGAGAGAGAGAAAGAGTGAGAGAGACAGAGAGAAGGAGCGAAAGACAAATAATGCAGTAATCCTTTTTTAAAAAGAAGCATTTTTTAATGTACGATATTTATGATTAAGCTTTTTACTGTCACAAAGTTTGCAAA